CTCAAAGGATCCTCCCATCTCAGGTACCCTAGTAGCTGGGATCAAAGGTGTGCACCACCATGCCTGGCTAATTTGTTTTATTTTTTATTTTTATTTTTTGAGACGGAGTCTTCCTCTATCACCCAAGCTGGAGTGCAGTGGTGCGATCTCAGCTCACTGCAACCTACGCCTCCAGGGTTCAAGCAGTTCTCCTGCCTCAGCCTCCTGAGTAGCTGGGACTACAGGTGCCCACCACCATACATACCTGGCTAATTTTTATATTTTTAGTAGAGACGGGGTTTCACCATGTTGGTCAGGCTGGTCTCAAACTCCTGACCTCATGATCCGCCCTCCTCAGCCTCCCAAAGTGCTGGGATTACAGGCGTGAGCCACCGCGCCTGGCTGTTTTACTTTTTTTAGAGACAGGGTCTTGCTGTGTGGCCCAGGCTGGTCTTGAACTCCTGGCCTCAAGCAATCCTTCCACTTCAGCCTTCTGAGGAGTGACTGGGATTATAGGGAGGAGTCATGGCACCTGGGTGGCTTGTTTACCTTTTAATCCCTATTGCTTCTCTACTGCTCTTTTTTTTTTTTTTTTTTTTTTTTGAGACAGTCTTGCTCTGTTCCCCACGCTGGAGTACAGCGGTACAATCTCAGCTCACTGCAACCTCCGCCTCCTGGGTTCAAGCGGTTCTCCTGCCTCAGCCTCCTGAGTAACTAGAATTACAGGCATGCACCACCACGCCTGGCTGATTTCTGTATTTTTAGTAGAGACGGGGTTTCGCCATGTTAGCCAGACTAGTCTCGAACTCCTGACCTCAGGTGACTCTCCCGCCTCAGCCTCCCAAAGTGCTGGGATTACAGGTGTGACTCACTGTGCCCAGACTCTTCTCTACTTCTCCATCCATCCATATGTATCCCTCTCTTTGTCCACCAGTATCCCACCTCCCCCATTCCTGAGCCTGATTCCTCAGCCACTGACACACTTTCTAGCCCTGATCTTCTCTCTGTACTGAGCACAGAAGGCTCAGTTTGAATGAGGAAGGGAATCCTACAGAAAGAAACCAGGGAGCAGAGGGAACTGACTGAAGAGAGCTAGTCCTCCTCTTCCTCAAAGCCCAGCTTCCTCCAGGGCCTCTTGGCTGTGGGAGCAGGAAATGAGTATGGCAGGCAGCAGTGCTGACAGGGCTTTTTGTTCCCACCTCAGCGGATGCAGCTGACCAGTGGCCCCAGAGCCCAGCCAAGTGCACGGCTCTTGAAGTGGAGCCCAACCTCCTGCTTCAGGGCCGGGGACAGGAGGGGACCATGGGGTTAGGATAATATGGAGGCAACTGCAAGTTAACCTCAAGGGCAGAGATGCCCTCCCCTAGAGGGCATCCAGCCTAGGCAACAGAGCAAGACTCTGTTTCAAACAAATTTTTTTAAATAAAAAAATTAAAATGTTGACTAGGATCAGCAGAGCCATATAGTCTATCACTATAGACCTTTCTGTATTTGTCATTATTCCACAACGTTATTCAGCCGACTAAGAATCTACCGAACTATATTTTTATCTAGTATACCTTGTCAACGAGAATATCATGAGAATTTGCCACGAACCTCTCCAAAATCTGCATACACATGCTTCTGCTCTAACAATCTAATGATGCTATCAAACAATTCAAATGAAATTAGTATATATGTAGAATATTCATAGCTACACCCTTGCAGTGGCCAAAAACTAGAAACAACCCAAATGCCCAGCAACAGTAGATTGAATAAATACTAAACAGCACTAAGAATAAACAATCTGGGCCGGGCACAGTGGCTCAAGCCTGTAATCCCAGCACTTTGGGAGGCCCAGACGGGCGGAACACAAGGTCAGGAGATTGAGACCATCCTGGCTAACATGCTGAAACCCCATCTCTACTAAAAAAATACAAAAAACTAGCCAGGCGAGGTGGTGGGTGCCTGTAGTCCCAGCTACTCGGGAGGCTGAGGCAGGAGAATGGCGTAAACCCGGGAGGCGGAGCTTGCAGTGAGC